TAAGGACAAGAGTATCTTAGACTTATCATTTAAAGTTAAGCCAACTAAATTAACAAGAGGGGAAAAAAAACCACCCTCAGACATCATGGTTCTCAAACTGTCCCCTAAGGCACTCCAAGCCACTATAGCAAACTGACATAGACACAAAGGTGTACTAGCTTGTAGATAGGTCAGTCTCAACATATGATCATGCTACATTCCTCAGTGATGTCATATCTTTGCAAAGCTGCATTTTCAGTGGCTGCTATGATAAAAAGTACTGTGCAAAAACCAGCATGGAACAGATAATGAGGGTGGTAGTGTTCAAGCTATCTCAAAGTTTAATAAGTTGTACAGTGCCCAACAGATGCATACATCCCATTAGTAATTAACTCATTATTTAAGAATATATATTTTTTTCAACATATGTTCAAAGAGCTTTTTTATGTTTTTCGAAGAGCTACTACATTGTTAGGACATAAATATTTTTTAAGTTATTTGAACATTACTATCATTTAATAAATGAAACTGCTATTCAAGGTACTTATTTTGGCGTAGAGTCAACATAAAAAAATTACTAAAGAAACTGTGAAAGTTTGGGAACCTCTGTAATAATTCACATCAGATATTTTAAGAACCTGACCAGAAAAAAAAGTTAAAAAAATTTCTCAAAATGTTTCTTGTTCAATGATAAATTCTTAAGTTTTTCTTTAAGCAAAAATCCAACAGAAAACAGACTAGGACAGCAGAAAAACACTCATGTAAGTAAAAAAATTCCAAGATATCTCACTTACTTTAAAATCTCTGGGTAGTTGACTTTTGAAAAATCTCCGTTATGTGCTACATCATTTATTCAGTCATTAAGGAAAAGTACTATTCTAATTCTTGAATCTAAGTTGTAGGAATATGGAGGGCGCATTAGCTGTATAAGCTTGAAAATTTTTAAGGAGTGTTGAACACACAAATTCACAGTATAATTCTTAGCACTTTTCCTTAAAAAAAAACTCCACAACTCTATAGAGTACTTCCATTCATTACATTACAACCTCACTACCCACAAGTAAAAGAAGTTGCTTTCCAAAAGCATTAAAATTTTCTTACCTAGCTATTTTTAGTCCACTGAAATGTTTTTATTTAGAGCAAATATCAATCATCCTGATGCAATGTTCTTCACTCTTTAATGTTCTCACTCATGTTCTTCACTCTTAGCCATATTAAGTAAAAATTTTAAAAATAGTTTTCTCTGTATTTCTCTATATTTTTTAGAAAAGAATGTGTTGGCAGTTTACAGATTGCTTAAAACAGTAACATAAAAACTGCATATGGAATAGCATTCTAAAAATGAAAAAAAAAAGCATTTAATTAGACTTTGTCAGAGTACTTGGGTAACAGTGAGTTTAAAGTGGGATTCCTAGTATTTTCTAGTATCTAATGTATATAACTTATTAGAGTAACAATTAAAAAAACACTACTTCGCTATGGTATAAAATATAGCTTTTAAAAATAGTACTTTTTTTTAAAAGGATAATAGATTTTTGAGAGTTCAAAATAAAAAAGTAATAATTGTTTTGAGCCATGTTAAAACAATTAAAACTTTTCAAATCACAGTTGAACTGAATAGTCTTCATAGATAACCATCCAGACCAGATAGATCATCCATCTAGAAGGAAATGCACCAGAGCAATGTAGCTTTCCAAAAGTAATTCCTGAATTCAGTTGCTGAACATGGTTATTTCCTCTCATCTTCACACTGATTAACTCATAATTAAAACATTTAATTTGATGGGTTTTGATTAACTCCGATAACAGTCCCAAAACAATGAAAAGGATCCAACCTTTGTATCAATTAATAAAGGTAATTTATGTTTTAAGAAATTGAGATTTGATCAAATATAAATGAATATGCAAGTGTGTGTGTATCTATATATATGTATGACTTTAATTTTGGAAAAACAAATACCCATTCCTTTAAGCTAATCATTTAAATAAAAAGCTACCCAATATTTGATGTCGATTATGTACACTGTTAATACTCTGAGTAAAATGCTATCACTCCTTTATACATGTAAGAGAAAGAGATTTAAGTTTATTATCCAGAAACCTGACAGTACATGCAATTTCTTATTTTCCACATGATAGTGTCTGTCCTCTTCACAACTGCTTCTCTGACTTTCTCATGAACACTGAAAGCTTAATGACACATTATGAAAGCTATCGTTTCCTTCTTTATGAAGTATATTGAAGACAAAAGGCATTAAACTCATTTCACATTAATTTAGCAAAGCTATTTTATGCCAACATTACAATGTACAATGCAACATGAACAATTAGATTTCACAACTATACTACTCCAATTAATAAAATATTTCTTTATAAAAATTCTGTCCAAAAGGTTACATTCACATCTTCATTTAATATCTTAAGGTTGTAACAACAGTCATAGAAGATTCAAAGACAGAAAATTACTTACCTTAAACATGTATATTCTCCAAAAGTATATACTCCATTCCAATTACTCTAGGTTCCGGCTTCCTAGAACTCAAGAATTTTGGAGCTACTAAACTTCGTACACCCAAGAAATAGCCAAACTCCCCCCAAAGTTAAGGTCTTGCTAATTAAGACCTTAACAAGGTCAAAAGATGCCACAGGATTCACCAGTGAACACAGACTCTAATGGTTAGGTAAATTAAGATGGAGTTGCTCAAAAGATTCTCATTCAGGCAACTTAGGTTACAGATAGGTAATCTCTAGCTCTCTAGAGAATTACCCAAATGACGCAGCTCCAGAAGGATTTCTGAGTGGGTACATAACAGCTCTGTTTCATAAGCTGGTTCCACTCAGATTTGAAGAGGTGGCTGCAGTATAGGGGTGGATTTTTCCTCTTGGACAAAAAGCAAAAGGAGTAGGAAGAAGTTGAAAGAGATGCTCATAAATTGTTGCAAAGACCTCAGCAGGGTCAACATTTATGTCAGCTGCTCTAATTACCACCAAACAGGCCTTTGGAGTGTCTGAGCTACAACATAGTATGTGTACAATCAATTCCAGAGACTGGTCCCTAGCTCTGAACTAATTTAGCTATGACATCTATGGCCAGACAGTATCTATGACCTTCTCTCCTCATCGATAGGTTTGACCAAGATTTTAAACCATAACCAGACAGGCCAGGTATGCCTCTCACTGACAATTTATTTCAGCTGAGATTTAAAACTGTCAATGCATGGGCCCCAAGATTCAAATTTAATTGATCTGAATATGAAATCCAGCCACTATATTGACTTAACTCCTCAGGTAGTAGTAATAGGCATCCAGGGTTGAGAATCACTGACAAAAAGGTTAGGAGTTGGGTAGAACACCTAGGCCTCTTCAATATATGACTAAGGATGAAAGCTGGCATTTTGATGCTCTGAAGGATTCTGAAACTCTTCACTTGTCATTAAATGAAATGTTCAGGAATATAAGATCCAAAGATGCCATCATTACTATTGTCAAAGCCTGCCAGTGTTGAAAAAGATCCTGGGTTCCCTAAACCACCTCAGTAGGAACACAAAAGGAGCTCTTTCCAAGGGTGGAGACACCCAACTCTCATTCATTCCCTACTACAATCTTAATTTGGGCCAATGAAAGGAGGATCCGTTGAGGTAACAGCGAAGGTGTGTCCTCACTATGTTCCAGTGAGAATTCAGGAGCAGGGGGAAGAGACGAGTGGAGGGGAGCAGTGTGGAAGGAAGAAAGAAGGGTACAGCACTGGGACATGTCAGAGGAATTTCTGATAGTTCAGAAACTAATCACTAACTTATTGTCAGTAAAGAGAGGATTAAAACTTTGGAAGTACATTTATCCCTGATGGTCAATTACACACTGATAAATTCCTGTTAAGCCTTGCCTTGAAAGGCCTCAGAGAATTACTTCTTCAACGTAGAGAACTAAAAGCCTAGATTCTAGTTCCAGCTCTGCCAACAATTAGTTGTATTTAAATGATTATGGGAGCTTTTTCATTAGTCTCAAAGCCAAAGCATATTGTCAACTTTTCCAAAAACACACAGTAAAGAGATTGTCACTGGGTACATGTAGATGGATATTTTCCAAGTGACCTTGCTGATCTATACCACAGCTTCAGAAGAAGGGTAATATTTAATTTTACAATGTATTTTGATGTTTATATTTGGCGCTTATCAGATGTTAAAAGAATTTTCTAAAAGAACTCTTCCATTTCTTTATTCTGTTTCCTGAAAAAATTATAATTTTTGTAATTTATAAAATAAGAATTTAGGAATTTGATGTTGTAAATTGAACATGCCTCACCTTACAGCTAAAGAAAACAAACGACTTGACCAAATTCACATAGCTTTTTAATGACAGGAAAAAGTACTATCTACTCTTAATGCCTTCCTTCTCTAGAGGTTTGATTCAAATTATCTGGTAAAAGAGGCTATCAGGGGATAAGCCCAAACACAGCGAGGAACAAACTTACGATTCTTGTTTGGCTACATGCATGCCCCTATCTCAGGATGAAGGGACAACTGGAAGATGGGAAAACAATATAAAACTATCTCCCAGATATATCTAAAGACCTCCTCTCAGAAATTATGCCAGGCTATGTTACTTCTAACATGGCTGACAATCAGAGATGGAACCATTAAGGTGGGAACTGGTATTTGGTTCTTAAAAATAATTTTGAGCTTGCCAATCTTAGGAATAAAAGATGCTTTCCCTGCTCTGCTGTCCTTCTAAAGGTACAAAGAAACAAAATATATTTATAATTAGAGAGGTATCTCAGGTAGGCAGTGAATGATGGGGCTATAATTATGATCTACCAAGGATATTTAATTCTAAAACTCATTAGGTAACCATTACTAAACTGAGCTTCTTTCCTTAAGTGTAAAATGGATTGTAATCTTATCATTTCTCAACCTCTGAAATGAAGTACTGTGAAGGTATAGTATAGAGTTATACTGTATGGCACAAAGCAGAAAGTGCTTTGCAAAGGAAGAGAGGGTACTAAGGACTAAGGAATTTCTGAATTCCAGAAATTTTATTTTATTTTTTACTATATCATGACAAGGTATGTTTTAGAGAAAACATTTTTCCAGTATTAAGTAGGACCATATAAAAAAGAGTAGAATGAACAAATATCAGGAAAATGTGAGGCTAAAAAGATGTAACAATTGTTTTTAACTTCAAAATTTCTGAGAGCTTTGACTATAATGTATACCATGAATCTACAAGATGGAAGGACAAGTGAGCAGCATTTTCCAAGTTTATATGACCTCACCCTTTTTACATGGACCATCTTAGTGAGCAATGTTCTACAGAGGAAAAAAACACTATTACTACCTATTCTTTCTAGATTCCTATTATTTACTTGAATACAAAACCATGAGACACTTGCTAGAAAAGGAATTTTTTAACACATAAAGATAAATGTTTGTAAACCTTTTATAGGTTGTCTATTCCAGCTTTAAATAACATGATTCCAAATCTGTTAAGGCCAGATCGCTAACATATCCTCTTTCCAAAAGGCCACTATGAATACCTCATTATCAGGACAGAGAATAAATCCTTCGAGTTTTATAAAAGTCATTTGACTTCTTTGTCTCAAGTAAGGACATCTGTTACAACAGACAGAAGCTCTTCCCTTGATGGTCCAGCAACACAGTTTTCTTGTCCTCTGGGCCAGCCAGAATGAAAGGAAGACATCTGCCATGCATAATTTTATTGTTTATCTAACACTGAATCCTAAACAAAATTTTGTACCAAATACAAGATTTTGAAAATAAGAGGTAACAACCTGAAATAGAAATGGTGTAAGAAAAACATGAACACCTGAAACTAATATGTTTTATGTCAATTACACCTCAATAAAAAAATGAAAAAAGAAAGGTCATGTTCTTAAATAGTAACAGCAGCTAAAATATTGAGTGGGAAGTGGTTACAGAATTTAAGTCTAACACTGTCTATTTTTATAGTGCTTATACGAATGTTTTAAAGGATCTGGTAGAAACTGGGGCAATGGCAACAAGTCCTACAGCAGTTCTTGTCTTGCAGCTGGTAGAAGGATTATAAGGTTTGGCAATAGCTTGCATGGCACAAGATTGGTCACAGTCTTCTGCTCGAGCAGTGGGTAATAAACCTGTCTACAGATTACATCTAAGAGTTCATTTTATAACTCTTTACTAGATGATATAAACTGTGGGCATGCAGTTGTAAGCTGTGGTTATGCACAATGGTTTTTGTGGTCTTAGAGCTTCCCCTCTGAGCAGTCAAATGATATTAAAATGCTCAAACTTTATAATCTCTTCTAGGGAGAGAGCAGAAAAATCTTATACAAGGCTGTGGGAGCTGTCAGCATAAGGTGGGAAGGATAAAGCTCCTTACTTGTAAGAGTGACAATCAGCAATATGACATCTATGTGCAATGCGAGTTGAAAACATTTTAAACTGAAACCACTCATAGTTTCTCCCATGGTTGTGATTATCATAAAATTCCAAAGTATTTCAAGAAATTCCTGGTGCTTCCCATCTTAAGGTAGCTTACATTTCATAGCGCCAGTGTACTGTGAAAAGTAGCTGGAACAGCCCACCAGTACCCTTACCTGATACGTTCATCCATTCCCTAACCTCTGGAGGAATAAGGTTACTTACAGGGAAACTCGGTTTTTCCAAAAGGTATACATACTAAGTCACAGCGGTAAAAAAAAAAGGGGGGCTGGGGGGAAAGGGGTGGTTCTAACAGCTCTTACAAACTGGCAAGGGAACAGAAGCCCATTACTATCCCCAAACTCACCCACCTTCACACATCGTCATTGACAGAGACATCAAGAGCAACAGTGATTATATACATAAAGAACAAGTGAGGCAAAGGCAAAGCAGTGTCAAGCTGTCTGAGTGTAGGCAATGATGCTTTGATTATACCCGTACAAACTCTTCGGTCCCTTTTAGTTATCCCCAGCTCAGCCCTCAGGCCACAGAGCTTTGCTGTAGAGAACGCAGATGTGATGTAGCTGCTCCAGGACTCTTCACAGCACTGCACGTCAATACTGGGAATGGTTTCTAATCAATTTAAACTGCACACAGTACTTAAGAGAACAAGAAGTTTATTACTCCCACTCAGTGGTTCCTGGGGGCTTTGATGTTAAGTCATACATAATTCGAGAAATACCAGGAATCTTCTTAATCTCAGTGACCATCTTTAACACCACCTGTTACAAAACAAAGATTATAAATAAAAGAGCCAGGATCCACTGCATGTCCAATAGACCAAGAGGGCTTATATTTGCAATTTGAAATTTAAATGTGATCTACTGTCCTCTATGTATATGGGATGGTCTCTAATTAATTATATGTAGGGAACCTATTTCTCTCCATAGATTTAAGTGACAAACTAACTCGGTCATACTCAAAGTGCAGTCCACAAACAGGTGCCAGCCTACAAGTTATGTTTGTTACGGATCCATTGCAAGTGTTTAGTAAACATTTATAGCAATTTGGCACTGCTATGGCATCCAAACACAAGATTTCATGTGTTTAAGCCAATGTTTCACAAACTATCCGTGGCTAAAACATAATTCTGAGTCTACCAAGGTGGCACATAATGCACTATAATAAGCAACCACTGACAAGTGTACAGGAGAAGAAGCTTGGTTACTTGATTGCACAGAGATTTGGCAAGTTTGAGCCAAAAAGAAAACAGACTCTAAGCCACATTTCCCAGCCCAACTATGCACTATAACCAGAACCTTGTGCTAGAGCACTGGTCCAACACATAAATATTCACTGTGATTTTCATTTGCTATTAGGCAAATAGCTCCTTTAGAACATGTTGGTGGAGAGATAATAAGAGAGGAAGATGGTGATCAAAAATGGAATTGCTAGTGTCAGAGCATTAAGCAATTCATGGAATTCTGGCCATAATGCCATCAATTCTCATCCTTATTTCTAATAAACTCTTCTTCATTCTTAGAGTTTCCTTCTTTACTTGGAGAATATTATTTATAAAATAGAGGTTGGTTGGCAAAATCAGGTAAAATTATAGATTAGAGTTGGTTACTCTCCATAGAGTAATCAGACATCTAGAGGGAAGCAATAAATTTAAGGCCTTTTTCTACTACACTATATTAAATAATCAATTATGTGGAGAGTTAAAAAAAAAAAGAGCCTATCTTATGAACAGAAAACCAACCCCAGGAATATCAACATTGTCATAGCCTATTCCAATCATCGTATTATAAAATGTTTGAGGTACTGAAAATGTAAATTAGAAAAAAATATGTAAAAGTTACCTCTACTGGGATTTCATTGCCAGGTGTTGCAGGTATACCAGTCATGAAATCACTAGTAATAAAGGTTCGAATAACCACGGATCGCTGGCATGAAGGCTGCTTCTGAAGTGGGTCTCGATCAAAATGTAATGGTGTCAAAATCACCGGCATCTGGCTGATCTTCCCAGCATATCCTAGAGAAAAGAAGTTAACATGTAGAACCAATCATCACCCATGGAAAAGCACTCTCAGTTCACTAAAATCTTGGTCATTCATGGTATTATATTCTATACTGCAAACATTGGATTAGCAAATACTGAACCACTGCCCCTAGAAGAAATCGTTAGGTTCTTGCGATATTTATTAATATTTATTGTAGATTCATTAACACCGAACTCATGGCCAACAACACTATAATTCATGCATGACCAAAGCTTATCTAAGTCACATATTTTCTCTGTAAGGCACATCACAGCCTTCCTGCACTTAATAATGTGGACAGCACTATGCTGGGGGTGGGAGGAACATTTTAAACAGTGAAATCACCAAAAAAAAAAAAAGGCACAAAAATACAAAAAAGATGGCACTAAACACACTACAGAAAGGATGCTTGTTTACAGTAAGAGCTGAAACAAGAAGCAGAGTACTGTCCTGTTCGACCTTAGCTGGGGGCATGCAAGTTGGGCAACTCAAATTTCCTGCCACTCTGCACGTGTCCGCAAATGACCAAAGGGTGAATTACATTTCATATAGAAGACAATACACAGAACTAACCATGGAAATGAAAGTATCTAAAAATAAAAAGTTACATCCTACTGGAAATCATAATGCCAAGCTTCCAAATTCTAGTTAGAGCATGCAGTGATAAACAGCATAAGCAACTTACCAGACTCCCTGAGAATGTTCTGGGCCTCAAAGTCAGCTTGACGTAAAGTACTGAGCACTCCTGTTGTCAAGAAAGTGGGAGTAACATCTGTAGGAGGCTCTTTAACTGGTGGGCCAAATATATAGACAACTCTAGAAGGGGGAAGGTGAAAAATATAGAGAAATTACATTTTAGTATGAAAAGCAAGGCACATAGAGTTAACATTCTTTCCATTTACTTAGGCCCCCCTCCTACTCACTTCAAATCCTCAAATGGGTAGGTTAGGATATAAAATTACAGATGAGTCTATGTTCTGTGTATCTTCCTCAAAGTGTATTCTCTGGAATACTAGTATCTCAGAATGTGCAAAGATGTGTGTAATTACCACAATCCTCTTTTCATATAATATACTGGGTTGAAGAGTGTCCCCCAAAATTCTTACTCATCTGGAATCTCTGGGTGAAAATAGGGTCTTTGCAGATTTTATTTAATCAAGTTAAAATAAAGTCATAACTGATCAGTATTTAAGTATTAACATTATTCAGAAGATGAATTACCACTATTTTAACCAAAACAATTATCTCAATTACAAATTTACCATTATTTAATAATAATTCATTTTTTTTCAATGTATTAAACAGTGCCTCTGTATCTGGGGGCCTCAGGTTCGAGTAAGCCTTTTAACGAGCACATTCCCATCAGTAAAAACATGGCTTCCCTGTGACTCCCTGTCCTAAAAGCCACACCACCTGGCAGTTAGAAAACTATACCCACCCTGCTGGTGAATACCAACTGGTAGGTTTCTAATTTCTGTGGTAAACTTAAATAAACTGAAACATCAAGTAATTCTTTTTTGTTAACTACCTAATATCCACAAAAAAAAAACTAGAAAAGAGTGACTATGAAATAAGAATATTAATGAGCAATCTGGTATTAAATGAGTTGAGATTTTTGAACTATATATGGGATAATGCAAATGGTTATTACACATAGATTATAAATCAGCTGTTGATATATCCAACCTAAGAAATTAATATGCAAATTAAAGGAAAAGTGAATCTGAAAAACTAAATTCAAAATAAATTATACATATAGCTATTTTAATGACATCTGGCATACCTACTTCTTTTCTTTGATTTCTCTTGGGAGTATTATCAAATTAACCAAGTCCCTATTGGTAATTCTATAATATTTAGGTATTTTTTCAATTCTTTTGGAATAAAACATGTTACGATCAAACCAATAGCTAGTATAAGCTGCTAATTTGGAAGACATTTTAAAATTGCATTTAGTATTTTATACTAAAATAAAAACTCTCCCTATTTTTCCTTTAAACAAACAAAAATTTAATATGCAAATTATTGCATTGTGCCAAAGAAATAAAACACAAGATATTATTAAATATCTGCTCAAAAAACTGTGATCCAAGTGCACACCTGTATCTACACTTGAACCTTTTGGTCCTTCAATAGTGGAAAGATCTTAAAAAACACATCCTTCCACTACACCTCACCCCCTGTGCCCACTGCAGAACGTACCTGTTAATGTTGTGACACATGCGAGGTATAAGCCTAGCCAGGAAAATAAGAGATTCCCAGTCAGGCTCATCTTTACTGGAGATTCCACAGACGTAACTATAGGAACGACAGTCCCCCTGAAAATAAAAATATAACCAATAATTGTTAATGGTTTTATAGAAATCAAAGATGGATTGGAAAACGTTTCATGCATGGTGATATCATTAATAGTATTTTTTTGTTTTTTGAACAAAAATTTGTTTAAATAAAAGTATGTATCGGTACTTCTCTAATTATATAAATAAATCCTATTTAAATCTCATATAAATTCTACCTAAATCAGTTCAGACATAAAGAGTCATGGAGGGAGGGAGCAATTGGGGGAATGGTTTGATGAACATTATAAATGTCTAACCAATGTACTGTATACTTGAAACTAGTTTAAATAAATTTATTTTTTAAAAAAGAAAGTGTCATGGTAATTTCAAAAATTTATTCAACAGATGCCAGAGACCCACTGAGATTTCATTCCAAATACCTGCCCAACTGAGGACAGCTAGCGTGCTTAATTTGGCAGACAAGATCTGCACATGATTAGGTGAATAAAGAATTCTTAAGTTGGAGCTAATTTCAAAAACATTCACTTATTAATTTTTTTAAAAATAAGTTTAAAATTTTAATTTAAAAACAAGTAAATAAATCTAGTAATATTATTGATTCCCTTTTCCTTTGTCCGGTTTAATCCAAGTAATTTGCTTTTTTAAAAAAAAAATCAAATTAAACTAAAAAGCAATTTAAAGAGATTCATTAGGTAACTGTCCAATACCTGGTATACTGAAAAAACAAGAATTCAGACTATACGAATGCTAATTTGATAAAATCTATCAGAATTTATAATTTTAATCCAGGAAATGATCTTACAGAGCACATGAGTAACTGCTTAAAGAAATAAAACATTATTTGCTGAAATGCCTATAATAGTGAAATAATGAAAACGGTTTAAATGTCTACAGGTAGGGGAATAATTAAAGTATGATATAAGCGTATATGGAAAATAAGGCAGCAGTTAAGAATAATATATTGGTGTGAGAAGATATTAAGTTCATAATGTTCAGTTAAAAAGAAAGGTGACAATGTACATTTAATTCCCTTTTATTTTCTTTTTAAAATAAATGTATCTGGAAGAATACAAACAACACAACTGGTGAGCAAGAATAGAAAAATTATTTTTAAATGCACTGCATTTTTTTCTTACAAGTATGGTTTGTTTTGGTATTTAGAAAATAAACTTTATTGCTTTACTAACCATGAATTGCAATTTCTATCTGGGCTTCCACGCCCTCCAAAGGCCTCAGAGACTAAAGTTAAGTATCTAATAACTAAAATTACTTTCATTTTGATGGCAAGAGTAGTGGAAACTGAGTAAGATTCGCTTTTAAAAAAGAAGTCACTTATCCAACAAATTTAGGAAAAAAGAGTATACTCGTTAAGTTTTAGATGAATAATCTCTAAATAAAACAGTTCATTTTTTTCCATACATAATTCTACTCTAAGAGGCCATTATAAACACATTAACCCAATAACTGGCACTCATACCATTTTGAGTTAAATTTTAACACCTTTTCTAGTTTTCATTTAACTACAAACTAAATAACAAGAAACCTTCCTCTTCCCTACCCTCCCAAGCTTTCTCCCCCAGAAACTCATGTGAGAATCACATAAAGGAGAAATTGATAAAATCTAATTATGAACAGCATTTTAAAAGTGAAAACTATATTATCTTCACATGCTTTTACAATCGGAAAGATGCAACAATAAATACAAAAAGTGTTAGCCGTACACTAACACAGCTAAAACAGAGAGGACATGTTGAAGAAACAGCACTAGTTTAAGGAATTCACAAGCTGAGAAAAAGACCTAAGTGGTGTAACATGTTCATCTGGGGGCCTTCTGCAGTTAGAGACTCATAAAGCCACAGTATATTTCATACCAAGAAGTATAAATGTGGATATGACCACTTGGTACCAACCTATTCTTCAAGGCAGAAGCAAGCAAGCCAACCTACAGCAAACTATTCTTTGAAGTTTTACTTTTAGAGATGACAGATGTTCCAAAACTACAAAATCTCTGACTGAATATACGGTTTCTATAATATTATTCACTCCATAAACAAATAAAACACTGCCTTTTCACTTTTCTAAACTTGGTATATATACTTTCATATTTCATTTTCCCAAGTCATTTCTATTTCAATTTTAGTACAAAGAACAAACTACAGAAAGTTACGTTACAGCTCAATGATTTCACACAACTCACCTGCACACCTACAGTTTTAATTGGCAGCAAGAAGGCATTGAGTGAATGCAGACTTGTAATTTGCATCAGCTTCTCCTGATCCTCTTCTGTCGTGCAGGCTTTGACTCTTTGTAACAGCGTATGTGGCTGAGAAAACCAAAGAGAGATCGATTACTTACCGTTTCAAGAAATAAGATACTCATTCTTTTGGTATGTATCCACACTTACTGGTTTATAGCAATAAATCCTATCTGGTATTTCTCTTTGACTTGAGTGTGCTACACAGCATACCAGGATTTCACTCCTGAGAGGTAAGGCTATGAGATGTTAAATATCAGGATAAGAAATACAGATTATATGTTCATACATCTAGGCTTTAATCCTCCGTAACCAGCAAGGGACATATCTCACATGAGTCAAACTTTCTCCTTTATCTCTAATAAAACTTGTTGCCATAAAGTCAATTTTGTCTGAAATTAATCTACCTACTTCCTTTTTTAGTTTATTTGTCTGGTATATGTTTTTTCATTCTTTTACTTTCACTCCTTCTATACCTAGGTAAAGAAACTATAGTTAGTTTTACTTTGAAATCTAGTTTAACAATTTATGTCTTAACTAGAGATGATAGTCTTTTTAATTAATTGTGAGTTAATGACATGGTTGGATTTCATGCTACCATTTTATTCAGTAATTTCTATTTCAGTAATTTCTATTCTTATGTTTCTTTCTCCTTTCTTACCTTCTCCTGAACTAATGATTTCTCCCAACTCATTAATTTCCCCTTTACTGGTTTTGAGGTTAAACCTTCTGTTTCTCTTCTTTTAGCAGTTCCCCCTGTGCTAACATGGATATTTAACAAGAGACTCAATCTCTCTGAGCTCTGGCAAACAATACGAGCATCTTTAAATGCCTAACTCCAATCAATCCCCTTGTGCTTTACATGCTATTGTAGCTATATATTATTATATATTTAAAATAAACACCAAAAACTATAGCTCACTATTTTATGTAGTTCATGTCTGCTTCAATTTTACCCATTTACCATTCTTTCTCCTGTCTCAGAGCTTTCTCCAAGAATCCTTTTGCTTCTCCTAAAATCAGTTCTTTAAAACAGTGGTTCTCAAGCCCAGCTGCACACTCAAATTACTTGCTATGTTCAGGTTCCAACCCAGATTAAATTTAAAAATTCTAGGGAGAAGGAACTCAAAGCATAGTATACTTCAAACCCCACCCCCCACGCCCAGATGATTCTAATACACAACAAGGGTTGAGAACCACTGCATTAGTTCTTTAAATAATAGATCGATAACAGTAAATTTTGCTTATCTAAAAATGTCTTTATTTTGCCTCGGTTCTTAGAAGATAGTTATCTGTTCACTCTTGTTCACAATTATTTTCTCTTGGCACTTTGAAGTCTTTCCTTTGTAGCATAATCTTTTCTCTGCAGCTGCTTTGTCATTGGCAATCTGCAATTTTGCTAGGTGTCAAATTCTTTTCCTTTATCCTTATGGAGATGTGTTATGTTTCCTGAATCTGAGATACGGTGTCTTTAACCAATGTGGAGGAATTCAAATACTTGTGTCTATTATCTCCTTCTGGACACATGTTAATAAGTTGACTTTTTCATTCTATCTCTATTTTCTCTTTGCTGCTTTGATCAGTTTTCTGGATAATTTAACATCTGTCTTCAAGTTCATTAATTCTTTCTTTAGCTGTTTTTAATTTTCATTTCTAGAAGTCAATTTTTTTCAAAGCTGCCCAATCATTTTGATAGTCTCTTATCGTACACCTTACTCTTATTATCAATTGCTTCTATTAATATTATATACTTTATATTGTCTATCTGCTAATTCCAGAATCTGAAGTGTTTGAGAGTTTTGTTCTGCTAGTTTCCACTAGCTCTCATTCATGGTGCCTTACTTCTATATTTTGAAATTTTTACTGTAAGCTCATATTTATTGGAACGGTATCTATGGGAATTCTCTGAGGCCTGGCAAAAGATACTCCAAAGAGGATTTACATTGCTTCTTGCCTGACATCTAGAAGCACTACCGAGGTCCACTTTAAATCTCAGATTTCTTAGCTTGAGGTTTTCCAGGCCACACAGATTATTTAGATTTGATGAAATCTACAAAAGGACTGAAACACTTTTCCATTCATTTTCAAATTGGAGCTAAAATAATTTTCCTTACTGTCTTGCAAAACATATAAAGTATTTTAAAACACCCTTTCATATCTAGCATTTTTAAGGATTCAGGGTATCCAAACTGCTGTATGGCTCAAAAGAGAAGTCTGCATTTAAGTGTCTCTATAGTCTATTTTCTTCATAGTCATTGCAAAGTCTAAATTACTCTGAATTTTCAAATAATGAAACCCTAATAAATTCACTGTAAATACTGAAGTACAACAGACATCCATTTATTCCTTGTCCTGATTAGCTGTATCTGTTGAAAGCTCCTATAATATACAAGTACAATGTAAATTATTACCTTTTTAACACTTGCAGAAAAATCAGCTACTATTTTCAAAATATTGTTGGTTTCAGGAAAGTCCTTACAAATATAAGGTTCTTCAGCACATATTACTCTGATTGCCAAGCCAGGACCTAAAGAGAACAGTAACAATGGTATTTAGTATAAATTTTATATTTAATATAAAAATGTTGCTATCCTCAAATATAAACTCCTTCTAAAAATTAAAATCCATGTGCCACTTTAAGTTTTTTTCCAGTTTTATTGAGATAATTGACACATCACCATTGCAAGTTTTATAAACTGTTTAATTTCAAAAGTAGCTATTAGTTTCATCCATCTCATTTTTACAGTGTTTCAATTCCTTTTATCAATGATTTCTATCTTGTTTTTGATAGCCCATGTATTAAGCATCACAAAATTTTCTAGTAAATACTTTTAATTCACAATATATGTGCCAATATATTTAAAATTTTTAATAAGGGAATTTTCAAACATACACAAAAGTAAAGAGGACAGTATAATAAACCATCTTATCATTGATAGCCCAGATTCAACTACCAATTTAATTTTAGGAAGAAGAGTATACTGTTTAAAAAAAAAAATATCAAACATACAATGCAAGAGTGTTCAATTTCAAAAAATGTGAACTGGTATTTCTATTTCACCAAATACTTGAAAAACTAAGCACACAAGATGTGCATGAATCTAAGAAAATGAATTGTTGCTTTACTATAAAAACAAAAAAGTATCCCTTGAGATGCCTGTTTAAAGATAAAAACTTAGTTATGTCCATCAATTCCTGCTTCGTTTCTTACCTTTAGAATAAATAGCTTATTTAAGATGAGTAGTATGCCTAGTTTCATTTTTTAAGCAACAAAATCCCTTTTCCAATGAAATCTTACATAACAGAAAATCAACATAAAATAGACTCTAAAACAGTTAAGTGAATCTAGCTGAAATGTAAACTGAGAACATAGGACCACTTGGCCTCCTTCCATTACATTCATTCACAATCCTTTGCCAACACATCGATTAAGAATTGAGCATCTTAAATTATTAGATGTGAAGTTTATTGACACAAATACTGGTAATCACCACATGGGTGATACTCTGTAACACTGTTTTTGGTGGTAATATGGTAGTTAAGAGTATAAGCTCTGAAGTGAGCTTTTTGAGGTTTGAGTCCTGGCTCCAAACCTAATCTGCATAACTTTTGGCAATGTAGCTTCTGTCCCTGAATTTCCTCATCTGTAAAACCAAATAATAGTAGTTTCTATTGTGAGGATCAAATAAGACAATATGTGTAAAATATTTAGCAGAATGCTTAGCACATACAAATTCCTCAAGAAATGTGAACTATTACTGTTTTTTAAATTAATTAGACCATTCTCTCAATTTATCAACTAATGATGAGAGCTAGAAACAGGTGCAAGACTTGCCCAAACTCAAGAACTCATAATAAAAACAGGTTAAAACTCTCAGTCCTAACTTTAAACGAGTATCACCTCTAATTATTTTTCTACTTGACAGCAAATGACTACTTAAACTATTTTTATTTGTTCATAAATTATTTACATAAACCTATGTGCAAAGATGTGGTTCATCCGTTCAGACAAGTCAGCCATGAGAAAGGATTTCAGAGAATCAAGTTTTAACTCTGTCTTCCATGGAAGACATCATAGTTATCATAGAAAAAACATACAAATCCCAGCTCGACATTAAGAACTGTGTGGCAATGTTATTAAAATATCTCTATGTGTTGGTTTTCTTATCTGATGGCAACATTATATGCCAGACTCAGAGGAATGGTGTCATATTTAAATATAGATACAACAAGAAATGAGTAATAAAATGAAGTATATACAGTAGGTACTAAAAAGAATTTGCTCATTCCCTACCCATCCTTTCCTTTCAAGTTACATATTCTCTGAAATAAAGTATTTCAAAGTTATCTGAACTGACTTTTCTTCAACATGAAGGTCTAATGACAAATCAAACAGAATACAATTCTAATTTTACCTGGAAATGGATGTCTGGAAACTAACTCTTCCGGAAGTCCAAGTTCTCTGCCTAAAATTCTTACTTCATCTTTATGAAAATCTTTCAGAGGTTCTATCACTTTTCCCTGCAGGGGGAAAAAGCCAGTTAATATAAACGAGTAACCAAATGACATGGAAAACAAAGTAACCAATTATTGGCTTTTCACGTTGATTTCTTCTTTAGATTTAAAAATCATTTTTCAAAACTTCAACTTTTAAAGTATTTCCTCCCAGGTCCTTTTAAAGAATCAGATGACTATTTTAATGATCTTATTTCTCTTTGAAACATATTTTAAATATAAACCTTTTAAGTGTAAATAAATCTGATCAAAGCTGGAGGCTGGGCTTGTGGTTGCCCTTGGTCATGGGGTCATTGTGGGCACCAAGAATGCAGCATTCATGATGAACTTAATTCATATTGTACGTGACCACATGTACTTGTCCCTATGGGATTTATCCTTGGATGTTACCTAGACAGAAAGAATGATGAAAAGCTAACTGCTGTCCGAAACAAGAGTTTGTTATTTAAAAGGGAACTGAGACCCCATGAAGAAGTCACCAGGAAGTAAAAGCTGTGGTTGAATTACAGAATGTTCACATTTTTAAAATTATGAGAGAAATCGAAACACATTATTTAATTTGAAAAAACAAAAAATCTGATCAAACCTACTCACCATCTCTGATACAGTTCTCATTAGAATACAAGGCAATTTAAAAATATTCTAGTGTTTCAAAGTTAAAACTCTCCAAATGATACCATCAAGAATGTGAAAAGACAACCCACAGAAGGCAAACCATGTATCTTATAATGGATTTATAATCAGAATATATAAAGAACAACTTATAATTCAATAAAAGATAAATAAACCAATTGAAAAACAAGCAAAAGATCTGAATTGATATTTCTCCAAAGATGTACAAATGGCCAATGAGGACATGAAAAGATGTTCAACATCATTAGCTATCAGGAAAATGCAAATCAAAACCATAATAAGATACCACTACATATCCATTAAGATGCCCCAAATAAAGAGAGACAGATAATTCACACCTATTATGATAGCTACTATCAAAACAACAGAAAATAACAAGTATTGGCAAGGTGTGGAGAAAGTGGACCCCTTGTGCATTGTTGGCGAGAAGGTACTGTGGTGTAGTCATCATGGAAACATTAAAGAAGCCCCTCGAAAAATTAAAAATAAAACTACCATATGACCCAGCAATCCTACTTCTTGGTACATATCCAAAAGAAATGAAAGCAGAGTCTCCAAGAGATATTTGGAAACCCATGTTCATAGCAGCACAGTTCACAATAGCCAAAAGGGGAAGCAACTGACAGGTCCATGACAGATAAATGGATAAACAAAATGTGTACATATATACAAAAGAACATCATACAGCTTTAAACAGGAAAGAAATCTTGTCATATGCTACAACATGGATGAACCTTAAAGACCTATGCTGAGCGATATAAGACAGTCACAAAAAGACTATAAATATTGTATGATTTCACTTATATGAGGTATCTGGAGTAGTCAAATTCATAGAAACAGAAAGCAGAATGGTGGCCATCAGGGGATAGAGAGAGGGAAAAAAGGTAGCTGCTGTTCAGTGGGTATAGAGAGTTACAGTTTTGCAAGATGTAAAGTTATAGAAATCTGTTTCACAATGATGCAAATACACTTAACACTACTGAGCTGTACACACTTAAAAACAGTTAAAGGAGGGAAGGAAAGAGTTTTATGGGAAAGTTCACAAAGTTTTTACCTCTTCTCTCAACTTTCTGATAAGCTCTGTGTCGTTGTGATGCGTTTTGATGAGTTCAGCTTTGCTACTTGCAGTAAGGGATGCACTTTCGATTAGATCAGGGCGTAAAGTACCTTGGGCAAGGAAAACTTCCTCGGGTTTCAGGTTCATTTCTCCAATTACTTCATTGGCAATCTATAACCAACAAGAGTAAAACAGCCTTTTAAATGATGAATCGTTAAAAAAGACAGCAAAATTTCATATCGACTTTCAGCTAAATTCCTCAAAGTCCTTATGTGATACTGACAATATGAAATCTACCAACTCTCAAAATAAATTCCCTTAAGAACATATGTTCTTGAAAGAACATGCTTTAACATCATTCAACAAAAATATGCACACATTCCCTTCAAGCCTAAAAACTAGTCATTGAAATATCCAAAAAACTAAAGTCGAATATAAACTGAAAATAACTATTCTTAGTTAAAATAATAAATAGCCTGACAAAAGTACACATTTTTTAAAAATATAAAACAGTTCCTACTGGTGAGCATAATAACAATATAGGGTAAAACTCTTAGCCTAAAAAAAAAAGGATCAAAATTAACAAATTTGAGTTATTTGATATAATAAGGAAAAACAAATATGAAAATTCACACCAAAAATACTACGCATTGAGGATATTAAAGAAGTACCTTAACAAAAGTATCCCCAATGATTTTTCTTTTCTCCTCAGGACTTGTAGTCATATTTAATGTTTTGCTAATTCTTTTTCGTGGGGTTCTGTCTTCATCTGATATTGGCAGAGTTGTCGTTCCATTATAGAAAGAATGAGCAGCATTTATCACTAGGGAAGAGAGGAGACATATGTTTTAAACTAAGAGAAGATTTTTTTAAACTCATAATAACAAGTTAAATACACAAAAAAAACCTAGATGGATCCTTTGATGTCCCATTAATTTGTCTAACTATCCCAGAACTACCAATAAACAAACCTAGATTAATAAAGTCCAAACACAGACACTCATTTAAGTGTTCCTTCGTGAATTCTGTGACATTTAATGATCCAGGCTCATGATATCATAAATTATGCTGGCTGCGTTCCCTCTATTCAGTGTTCCAACAGAGCAATAAGCAAAAGCCACAGCAAGCATGGCCCCAAGAGAACCCAAAGCAGTCGTTCTTACACAGGGACCAAAGCTCTTAGAACTGCACATTGCGGTCTCTTTAAAAACTGACATATGTGAACATATATTTAGTGGTCCTCGACTGTCCACATTTAAGAACAAGGTACTCAAAAACTGACTAACATCTCTATTTGGTAATAGGCTGAACAACTGGTGGGCTTCACTGTAAGATGACAAAGCAGCTGCATATTTCACTGGGGGACCACCAATGAATCTATAGGTCTGTCTCTTAAGCAGTTCAGTTACTACAGAGAAATGCCTCCAGTCTCCCACCTATCAGCATGCTGGTAAGTTGAACAAAGGAAGTGTCTGGGGGAAGGGAGTCACCATTCAGATTTTTACTTAATACTACTGTTTTAAAAGTAAAATCTTACTTCCATCCTCAACTGTGCCTGGTATTGATATACCCAAGCCTAACCCTTTTCTTGTTTAGCCTCTCCAGAGGATAAATCCAGTTTCCTGATGGGCAAGGATAGCAAGCAGTCTGTTCCTGTGTTGAGGAAAAGGATCTGCTTCCCAGATTTTCAACCAATCCACATTAAACATTTTAGGCTCATCCAGAGAACCACACCCCACAAGGAAGCCAACGCTTCCAACTCCTGAGTCTCCCCAGAAGTCTTGCTTTTTGTTGGCTTTCTCTCCTCACTCCTACCCCAAGATTTTAGAGTCCTCCCTTTTACTCTCAGTTACCAGGGACAGATGCAGGTTTTCTTGGGGCTGAAACTTTTATAATATGAAGGCCCTTTTGTAGAAAAATAATAACAAATTAGGTATTAAAAAAATCTCCAGTTAAAACTAGGATGGCTAACACAAACTTAACTATACAAAGAAATGATTACAAATCACATACACACTGGTGTACCTCATTATACTGTACTTCATAGATGTTGCATTTTTTGAAAATTTGAAGCCAAGATCCTACACCAGCAAAGAGATTACGACTCGCTTTACTGCAGTGGTCTGAGACCGAACCCACAATCTCTTTGAGGTATGCTTGTACCACTAAAACCTAACCTAAATGTATACGTACCTCAACTTTTCTTTTCTTAGCCTAATCCCAAAATGCCCACAGCCAGTCAAACACCACCCAACAGAGAGCCAGTTAGAGTGGAAAAAACAAGTGAACTTAATTAACTATAAATTATCAAAATATCTTACTTGCAAACTTCATAAAAATATATGACCATGTCAAGACACTACTAGGATCCCTCCCAGGATTTTAGAAAAGGCGTGGCTAGTGAGGGGTGGTGAAAACTTAAACTTCATTAGTTTATCAGAGATAATTCGCATTATCCGTATGCTTTCCACCTTCCAACATTTTGCTGAAACTATTAGACTGCTATCACCTCCTCTATTCTTTGTCCTTGTGGCATTACACTTGTTTTATGCCTGTACTATTACTTTAGTGACGTTTCAAAAGGAGAAAAAAATAGGCTCATCTGCACTTCATGTTTCACTACAAGTCTTCATTTTACATTCAACCTTTTGGCATCGATTTCAATTAATTCAATAATATATATGGTTTGCATCATTAAACTACTGACTTGATTTCACTATACATACTGATTATATCTAGTTATTAAAAAGTGTAAGAGTTCCGCAAATGTAAATGTAGTTAAGCATTAGTGGTCCTAAAAAAAAAAAAGTGCTATAGACTCTTTCTTCTCTGTATAGACCTGTTTGTAAAATAATCTCTACATCCGTACCTGTTACAGGAAGGCTTGGATATTCTCATGCATAAGTAATATTACAGGTAGGTAAAGGTAACTTAAAAAGAGAATGAATAGAAGAGAACAGAACGGTAGCTGGAAAATAATAAGTTATTGATCCATATATATAACATTAAAAGTAATCAATAGTTTTAAAATTTATACTGGGACCCCTCCTGAACTAGAAGTAATTATAATATAAAAATAAAAAATATTTTCAACCGTGAACTTATTGGGAAAACTGTACTTGGTTAAGGAAATGTGCTCACTTAAACCATAAGGCTAGATTTGACTAAATAAGTCCTGACATGCAAATTAACTTTTCTGGGATTCATCAATACCTTTGACCTGAATTCCAAGCTTTTTGAGGGCCTCTTCTACAGACTGGCTTTCTCGTTTTCTCATAAAGCCATTATCAATGTGCACAGCAATGACCTGATCTTGGTTTAAAGCACGATTCAGCAAAGCTGTACAAACCGTTGAGTCCACCCCACCACTGAGTAAAACCTAAAGGATGAAATGAAAAGAAAAATCAAATTGAGTACAATAAGCAAAAAGAAAATAAAAACTATCAGCTTAAACTGTTAACCTAAAAACACTGTATCAAAGAAATGTATGGTAACTAAAAAAAAAGCACTCTGTAACAGTACAACTCACAAAGCATATGATCACCCATTCAGCATTGAAGGGCTATGAGGAGGAAGCCAGCTCTGAGTTCTAATATTATTGACATAAATTTGTAGACTTTCAGATGTAAATTGCTTACCAAAACTTTTGATGTGCCTACTCTCTCTTTGATTTCTCGAATGCACTCAAGTTCTCTGTTCTGCACCGTAAAGGTTCCGCTGCACCCAGCTATATCATAGAGGAAGTTCTTCAGTATTACTTTCCCATTTTCTGTAAGGCCAACTTCAGGGTGGAACTGTGCTCCATATAATTTTTTAGATTCATTTGCTATACCTTTATAAAGAAAATAATCACAAATTAAACTTTCATGTTGAAAAGACTCAATTAGTACCTACAATAATTCCTCACAATTTTTTCCTCTATAAATGTGAACACTGATACAAATTAGTTGGATTTTTAGCAACAACAAAAATAAAAATAAAAACTACTGCCGTGATCTTTCTCTATGAAGGTCTTCCCTTATGTAGCAATTAATGAATTATACCACAGTGAAATAAGTTCTACAGAGTTTATTTCACAGTACCTTCACTTCTCCATCCAGATTACTTCATATGTCTTGTCTGTTTAATAAAATGATAACTCAATTTGGGTTCTTAGATAGACATGGCTTTCATATGCAATACGCAGCTACCAATTTTCTACATAACAACCTCATATATTAGACCAGTCAAAATATTCTAAGTATTTCTTTCTTGAATACTATTAACCACAAATATAACTTCACTGACTTGACTAAAAGTGTTTCTGACAATTACTGATTATCTATTAAGCAGCAGATGTTAAGCTAGATGTTTTACAAGTGCATGTATTACCCTTGTTTATGGTTCTGAGCTATCGAGAAATTTGCCTGGACTCACAGTCAAGTAGGTAAAACAGGCCTGGAAGGCTTCTAAACTCAAACTTGTTCTATTATACCAGGGAATCTCACATTTACTTTACTTGGCTTCTAGGACATACCCTCTCTTGGTTCACTTATTTCACTGTCTGCTCCTTCTGAATCTTCGTTGGTTCCTCCTCATCTTATCCATCTCTACACACAGAAAATGAAAGCTGTCCAGTACTTAGCCCTTAAATGTCTTCTCTATACGTTGAGAGATCTCAAACTCTCATAACCTTAAATACTACCCTTGTTGGTACGCTCCCAAATTTGTGCCTTCAGCCCAGTTTTCTCCTCTTCAGTCCAGACTCATATATACAACTATCTATTCATACCTTTATTAAGGCATCTTGAATTTGGTATGCAAACGCAAATTTCTGCATTCTTTCTCATCAGGTAAATAGAAACTCCATGTTTCTGGTTGCTCAGGCTGAAAAACTTGAGAGTCAAGACTCAGTTCTACTCTCTCTTCCCCACTTCACTTGCAATACACAACAGCAAATCCTTTCTCTCTCCCTTCAAAATACATCAGAATCCAATCTAACTTCCGGTTTCCAGTCTGGCATATAAAAAGCTAGAAGACATCCCTCTGTCCTAACAAGAAGTAAAAAGCTGACTATTGCCCTTGGAGAGACTGACAGGTAAATACAGAGAATCACGACTTACTAGAGCGGAAACCTCCACAGGAACCATTGCCAAAGTGGAGAAACCTGAACTGTAAACGATGAATTACTGAAGTCTCGATATGGACAAATTTGAGAGATAAAAACTCCAAAAGGACCGAGTCATTGGGGGACCCCCACATTTTGTGAATTTTATGTCCAGGAGCTCGATCAAGTTCTCACAGTGAATATTAGAGAAAAATCCCTTCATGTTTCCAGCAGGGAGACGAGAAAAGGAACCAATGCGAAATACATAGATCATAGTGTTCTTCTTAAATAGACCTTCTTCCAAGGTTTACTCATAGGAGAAACTATGTAATCAGCCTAACCTGCTAGGGTTTTAAAGGAGCCTAAGTGACCGGGGAGAAAGGATATACCCAACTCCAGCCCATTCTAGTCATCCTGTCCCATCGAACAAGGGGAAAAAAATGAGGACTTCTTTAGTCCTCAGTCCAGGTGAATAGGCTCCCTAAGAGACTGAGACCTACTCATAAGATTATAGAATACTACCCCTCACCCCCAGCATGTTATCATCACATATTAAGGCCTATTTTCAGCAATTCCTTTTACCTAGTATATCATGTCTGGCTACTAAGAAAAAAATTACAAGACATACTACAAGGCGAAACAGAATTTGAAGAGATAGAGCAAGCAATAGAACTAGACTCAGATATCACAGGGATGTTGAAATTATCAGATTTAGAATTTTAAAAAGCTATGATTAAGAAGCTAACAACTCTAATGGATAAAGTATAGAATGCAAGAACAAATGGGAAATGTAAACAGCAATAGAAATTCTAACAAGGGACCAAAAAGAAATGTTAAGATCAAAACACTGTAATAGAATGAAGAATGCCCTTGATGGGCTTATTAGCAGAATGGACACGGATGAGAAAATAATCTCTGAGCTACAGAATATCTCAATAGAAATGGCCAAAAAATGGCCAAAAGGAGAGGGGAAAAAAAAAAAAAAAAACAGAACAGAATACCCAAGAACTGTGGGATAAGTAAAAAAGATGTAAGATACACATAATGGGAATTCCAGAAGAAAGAGATGAAAGAACAGAAATAATATTTAAAACAACAATAAACAACAACTTCTCCAAATTAATGTCAGACACCATGCCACAGCCCCAGGAAGCTCAGAAAATACTGAGCAGGACAAATACCAAAACGTTTGTACCAAAACCACCCCACAGCTAGCCTTATCATTTTCAAACTACAGAAAAGCAAAGATGAAGGAAAAATCTTGAAAGAAGCCAGAGGAAAATAACACCTTATATATAGAGCAAAGATAAGAATTATATCCAACTTCTCCTCACAAACCATGGAAGCAGAAGAGAGTGGAGTGAAATGTTGATAGAAATACATTCTTCTCAAGTGCACATGAAAACATTCTCCAGGATAACCATATGTAAGCCACAAAACAAGTCATATTAACTTTAAGAAGACTAATATATTAAGCATCTTTTCCAACCACAACAATAAACTAGAAATCAATTACGAGAAAACTAGAAAATTCACAGATACATGTAGATTAAACAACATGCTCCTGAAAAACCAATGAGTCAAAGAAATCAAAAGAGAAATTTTTAAAATCTTGAGAAAAATAAAAATGAAAAACCACCACTAAAACTATGAGATGCAGCAAAAGCAATGAACACTAAGAGGGAAGTTTATAGCAATTAACACTTACATTGAGAAAAATTAAAGCTCTCAAAGAAATAACCTAACTTTATACCTCAAGGAACTAGAAAAAGAACAAATGAAGCCTAAAGTTACTAGGAGAATGGAAATTACAAAGATCAGAAAAAAAACGAATAGAAGAGAGCCTAAAAATATAATAGAAAAGGTCAATTAAACTAAGAGCTAGTATTTTGAAAAGACCAAGAAAAAAGAATAAAGTAAAATTTAAAATGAAAAAGGAGACATAACAACAGATATCAAAGAAATACAAAGGATCCTAAGAGACTACTATAAACAATTATACCAACAAATTAGATAACCTAGAATAGATAAATTTCTAGAAACATATAACCTACCAGTACTTACCAGTACTGAATGAATCAAGAATAGAAATTTTGAAAAGACCAATTATTAGTAAGGAGATTGAACTGGTAATCAAAACCTCCCATTAAACCTACCCCCGCCCCACCACGCCCCCGCAAAAAACCATATGGCTTCATTGGTGAATTCTACCAAACATTTAAAGAAGACTATCAACTCTTATCCAACTCTTCCAAAAAAACAGAAGATAAGGGAACACTTACAAACTCACTCCATAAGGTCACTACCCTGATACCAAAGCCAGACAAGGATACTGCAAGAAAAGAAAATCATAGGCCAATATCCCTGATAAACACAGATACAAAAATACTCAACGAAATATTAATAATCTGAATTCAACAATACATTAAAAGGATCATATACCATCATCAGGTGTGATTTATTTCAGGGATGCAAGGATGGGTCAATATATGCAAATCAATCAATGGGATACACCACATTAATAAAATAAAGGATAAAAATCATACGATCTTCTCAATAGATGCAGAAAAAGCATCCGACAAAATCCACCACTCGAAATCACAGTTAACAACATGATCAATGGTGAAAAGCTCAAAGCTTTTCTAAGATCATAAAGAAGACAAGGATGCCTACTCTGGCCACTTTTATTCAACAGTACTGGAAGTCCTAGCCACAGCAATCAGGCAAGAAAAAGAAAAGTCTTCCAAAACTGAAAAGACAAATAGTATGGAGGTTCCACAAAAAAATTAAAAATAGAACTACGCTATACTCCAGCAATCCCACCTCTGGGTATATATCCAAAAGAAATGAAATCATTATCTCAAAGAGATCTGTATGTTCACTGCAGCATTAATCACAATAGCAAAGACATGGAAACAAACTTAAGTGTCTACTGATAGATGAATGGATAAAGAAAATGTGACACACACACTGGATTATTCAGCCTTTAATAAAAGAAAATCCTGTCATTTGCAGCAATACAGATGAACTTGGAGGACATTATGCTAAGTGAAATAAACCAAAGACAAATAAATACTGCATAGTATTGCTTCTATGTGGAATCTTAAAAAAATAAAATAAAAATAAAAAATAAAAAGCCAAACTCAGAAACAGAAAGCAGAAAGTGACTGCCAGGGGCTGGAGGCTGAGGGCTAAAAAAGGGTTGGTAAAAGGGTACAAACTTTCAGTTCTAAGACGAATAAAGTCTAAGGAGCTAATGTATAACATGGTAACTAGAGTTAACAACACTTTACTGGCTAACTGAAATTTGCTAAGAGAGAAGAAGTTAAATGTGCAATATTGTGATTTATAGGAAATAATTTGGTTTTCGTCCATAGTACCTGGCTCACAGCTCCCAACACCCTTGGAATTTCCTAAGTGATGAGAGCTTAAAGGTGTCTCTTATGTTAAACTGACTTCTGAAATGCACCTAAGGATGTGAGCCAACCATGTTATTGGGTTGAAACTTGAAACTTTCAGCCCCAGCCCCTTGACCTCCAGGGAAGGGTGAGGAGGATGGAGGTTGAATTAATCCCCAGTGGACAATGATTTAACCAATCATGCCTATGTAATGAAGCCTCCATGAAAATCAAAAAGCATGGGGTTCAGAAAGCTTCCAAGTTGGTGAACATGTGGAGATCTAGGGCACAGTGTCTGGAGAGGGCATGAAAGCTCTGTGTACTTTCCCTATACCTTGCATTACACATCTCTTCCATCTGGCTCTTCCTAGGTTATAACCTTTTATAATAAATTGGTGATCTAGTCAGTAAAATGCTTCTTTGAGTTCTGTGAGTTGTTCTAGAAAATTATCGAACCAAAGTTGTGGGAAACTAATTTATAGCCAGTTGGTCAGAAGTACAAGTAACAACCTGGAATTACAAATGGCATCTGAAGTTCAAGGAGGGGGGGTCACTGGAACCTCCAATCCTCAGCCAATCCATCAACCTAGGCTTGTAAATGGTAATAATCTTGTGGGACTGAGCCCTCAATCTATAGAACCTATGCTATGTTTAGATAAATAGTGTTAGAATTTAGTTGAATTCTCAGACACCTCGCTAGTGTACAAGAATTGCTTGCTTGTGTAGGAAACAAGCCCCCTCCCCCCACACATATACTCCCACGTACACTGGAAATTGTTCTGAAAACACCAAAAAATAGCAAAAACAGTGCTTGGAGGGAAACTTATAACTTAATGTATATATTAGAACAGAAGATTTAAAATCAATCATCTAGGCTTCCACTTCAGGAAATGAGAAAAAGTGGGGCAAATTAAATCCAAAGTAAGCAAAAGAAATAATAAAAATTAAAGCAGAAATCAATGAAGTCAAAAACAGGTAATCAGTGGAGGAAAGAAAATCAACAAAACCAAAACCCCATTCTTTGGAAAGATCAATAAAATTAATAAGCCTCTGGTCAGGCTAAATGAAAAAAAAAAAAAAGGACACAAATTACTAATTTTAGAAATGAAAGAAGGAATATCATTACAGATTCCATGGACATTAAAGTTATAATAAAGGAATACTGTGAACAGCTCTGTCCACAAATTTTATAACCTAGATAATACGGACCAATGCTTTGAAAGACACAATTTACCAAAACTCTGACAAGAAGAAATAGATACTCTGAATAGGCCTAGATTTATAAAAGAAATTACACAATCCTATCAATATTTTTTCAGAAAAAGTATCTGAAAAAATCCAACACCTATTCATGATAAAAATTCACTAAACTAAGACCAGAGGGGAACTTCTTCAACTTGTTTAAAAACTATCTTCTAAAAACCTTCAGCTAACATCATACTTAACAGTGAGAAACTTAAAACGTCCCTACTAAGGTCAGGAACAGGGCAAGGATGTTCCTTATCACCACTGCTTTTCGACATCGTACTAAAAGTCCTAGCTAATGCAAAAAGACAAGGAAATAAACAGCATACAAATTGGGAAAGACAAATAAAACTGTATTTGTTCACAGGGGACGTGATTATCTATACAAAAAAACCTGAAAGAAATCAATAAAAAAAACTCCTAGAATAAGTGATTAGGTAGGGTAATGGAATACAGGTTAACACCAAAAGTTTATTGCATTCCTATCTACCATCAACGAACAAGTGGAAATTGATATTTAAAACACAATTAACATTAGCACCCCGAAAAAAAAAATGAAATACTTAGGTATAAATCTAACAAAATATGTACAAGATCTCTATGAGAATCCAATGACTCCTGACCCCTTCCATC